GTTAGTCAGTCCTTAGTTAGTCGTCGTTCCAGTTCCAGTGCACCGGACGCTCCGATCCAAGGTACACCCTTTCCTACCAGAATTCTCCTCGTCCCATTCCTTCTTGACGTTCAGACGCTTCTTAGTGGAATCTCTGTTTGCTTATTTCACCTTTGGCCCAGCTGTGTCGCCTTCCACCACGACTGCACGGTAGAGTTACGTCGAGGTTCGTCTAGCATCAGGTAACACTGGTCCCAGAGGTCCCAAGATATCACATATATATGTCGTAAACCCGGGTAAGACAACAAGTGTGTTGGAAGTAGTCGGGGTTGAGTGGCAAGGCGTGCAGAGTAGGAAGTCCGCACGGGACAGTAAGGACAAAGTTTGGGATCAAAAGATGCTCTCCCAGTACGTCTCAAGTGGCACCAGGACCAGGGGACAGTTGAGGATTAACTGAGTAAAAGCTCGGCGTCCAGCCTGAAGCCGCGGGGACCGTCGTGAGATGATAATGACCTACCACTGAGCGGGGCTGTCCGAAAATATCCACTGTCCTCTAACTAACTGTCAACATCTGGACCAACGCCCTTTTTGTCCCCCACCTGGATCCCCCAGGTGTCCGGTCGCAAGCTGGTGTCACTTTGAGACGACTTGAAAGGACGTCATACTTTATTACTTACATATCGCATTGTTTAAATTACTATATACACTGGTGTCCAAAAAATAAGAAACTTTTGTTTTTTAATGATATGTTTTAAAATATACAACGCTAAAAGCTAAAAAGTGATTTAATTAGATATTTTAAGTCGTAGAATTTATTTATCGCAACCATTCGATTCGGTAAAATTGAAAATATGCAAATTTTTGCTTGTCTTTATAAGTGTGCTATTTGGCGTGTCGTTTACCCCATCTAAAAATTATCCAATTATAATTTTATTTAATCCTTAGTTAATTATGAGTTTACGAAAAATTTTAGCAGATAATTTAAAATGGAGAGCTGTTGGAAGAATGGAGGCAGGGCAATCACAAGTTGAAGTAGCAAAATGGCTAAATGTGAATAAATCTGTGGTCAGCAAAATATGGAAACAGTTCATTGAGACAGAAACCATCAAAAGAAAAGAAGGTTCTGGTAGAAAAAGAAAAACAGCTACCTCTGAAGACCGTTATCTGGTCGTAACTGCCAAGCGCCATAGGGAGATGACAGCTATTCAACTCTCTAATGAACTCTCAAGTGCTACTGGAACGAGAATTTCAAGACAAACTGTTTACCGAAGGCTTCACGAAGGTGCTCTTTATGCGAGACGACCAATGGTCTGTATCCCTTTAACCTCTGCTAACAGGAGAGCCCGCTTGAATTGGTGCTTGGAACATCACGCCTGGACTCATGATCAGTGGGCCAATGTTCTCTTCAGTGACGAGTTAAGATTTAGTTTAAACACAGATTCTCGACGAGTTTTCATCTGGAGGGAGCCTGGAACCCGCTATCATCCCAGTAACATCAAGGAAATAGACAGTTTTAGAGGGGGCAGTCTCTTAGTCTGGGCTAGCATCAGTTCTAGCAGACGCACACCCCTCCACATTTTTTCTGGGGGCACTTTAACTGCCCAAAGGTATAGGGACGAGATCCTTGAGCCCTATCTAAGACCATATAGAGATCAAATTGTTCACAATTTAATTTTATGGACGATAATGCTCGTCCGCATAGGGCTAGGCTAGTCAATGAATATCTCCAGAGTGAGAATATTCGAAGGATGGATTGGCCAGCCAGATCTCCGGACCTGAATCCAATAGAGCATGTGTGGGATGCTCTAGAGAGGCGTATTAGCGCTCGTCACCCCTCTCCCAGAACCCTCGTTGAGCTAAGAACTGCTCTATTGGAGGAGTGGGGTTTACTACCCCTGGACCTCCTCCAAAGCCTGGTAAACAGTATGAGGGCTCGCTGTGAGACCTTGATAGCTGTTAGAGGTAATCATACTCCCTATTGATATCTTATTTCTTTAAGATCTGGAACCTTAGCTTTGGCTATGTTGGTAATAATTTGCATATTTCATAATTTCAAATTTTTTTTTTATTTTCATATAGCTAGTCAAATTCTCCATAGTTTAAACTATTTTTATACTAAATTTTATATTAGTTAATAAATTAGCTTTTGATAAATTTCAATATTGGTTAAGTTTCTTATTTTTTGGACACCAGTGTATATATATATATATTAATTCTGTATTTAACCTCATTAAATCTTATATGTACATTGTTTTAAATCAGTTTCAATCTCTCTCTTTATAGAATTTAAAACTACTTATACCTACCTCGTATACTATAATGTTTGTAGGAAATTGTGAAATGAGATGGCGTGGCTCATCAGTGATAAACCCATCAGCTATATACAAGAAGAAGTAGAACGATCGTAGAATAAACTGGCGAAACGGCTTGGAGTATTCGACAGTAATTAGCCATCTCTCATTCCAATTTATCTTTGCAGTTTAACAGGTCAATATGGAAATATGTTTTAATTATAAAAAGTAGCATTACAAATTGGTATCAATTTTTAACCAAAGTAAACGGAAATATTGGAAAGAAATTAATTACAAAATTTCAATATATGATTTTAAAAAATGTAACAATATATTTTTATTATATAAAGGTATTTCCAAATTTGTGTAAATACGAAAAATAATTAATGTTTTAAATAACTTTCAATATGTATTGTTTTCAAATGGTGACACGGCTTGCCCGCGAGTGTGCAGGTAAATATTTGATTTCCATAAACACACATTCTGTATCTCTCCATATAACTTCAATTAGCAAGTATTGAAGAGTATTTGTGCTTGCTTTGTCACAATAAAAAGAAACCTATTGTTAATTTTTATATTTACTTTTCTATATTAATTTTAACAATTATACTCAATACAAATATAAACGGCATGTTTGGGAAACTAGCATAGCAATTCATCTCTTGTATACACTATGCAAATAAACAAAGACCATTGTTGAATATAGACCTTTTCATCTTATTTGCATATTAACTCTAAAGACAGAAAACGTTGACAATCGATATAGGGATCCATTCTGTCTGTAGAGTCCAGATTGACTCATCGTTAGTAAGGGGGAAAGTGTACAGAAATTATTTATTTCAATTCACAAATTGTATCAATAAAACAGAAAAATAAAACCGGAAAGTTATTTAAAATATTATATCGATTAGAATACACACAACAAAACATATATACACTCATGGACAAAACTTTAGGAAGTTGTACCTTTCAGCATGTATATCGGGACAATAATTCTGAAAGATATTACAGTGACCTTTATTGAAGACACACGAGATAACCAAGTGTGTATACACTCATGGACAAAACTTTAGGAAGTTGTACCTTTCAGCATGTATATCGGGACAATAATTCTGAAAGATATTACAGTGACCTTTATTGAAGACACACGAGATAACCAAGTGTGTATACACTCATGGACAAAACTTTAGGAAGTTGTACCTTTCAGCATGTATATCGGGACAATAATTCTGAAAGATATTACAGTGACCTTTATTGAAGACACACGAGATAACCAAGTGTGTATACACTCATGGACAAAACTTTAGGAAGTTGTACCTTTTAGCATGTATATCGGGACAATAACTCTGAAAGATATTACAGTGACCTTTATTGAAGACACACGAGATAACCAAGTGTGTATACACTCATGGACAAAACTTAAGAAAGTTTTACCTTTTAGCATGTATATCGGGACAATAATTCTGAAAGATATTACAGTGACCTTTATTGAAGACACACGAGATAACCAAGTGTGTATACACTCATGGACAAAACTTAAGGAAGTTGTACCTTTAAGCATGTATATCGGGACAATAATTCTGAAAGATATTACAGTGAACTTTATTGAAGACACACAAGTGTGAACAAAATTGTCTCCGTCTCTTAAAAAAAAAAAACAGACGAATGGCGACATCAAAGACTTCCCATTTCCTTAAGTTTTATCCATGAGGGTATATAACTGACTTCTAGTTCATTTTGTATGAGCCTTGCATTCCTTACCTCATTCTGAACATCCAGCTTCAGTACGGGATCTTTGTACATACCTGAGTTCCGGAGGACTTTGAACTTTCTAAAACAAAATAATAATAACAATAAACAAGTTTTTTTTCAACCCAAAGACAGACGGAGCTTTTTAAATAACCATCATCAGTAATATATCTAAAAGAGACAAATGTCATCAAAAATTTGTTTAATTTCTCATTAGGTTTTGTAACAAATTGACTAAGTTAATATAAAGCTCAGTTAATATTGTGACGGTGTTTTGACCCACCGCCAATTTTGAACAGCCCTTTCAACCGCCACCACCTCGGCCGGCCGGGTACGCTAGTGGGGGAATGCGCGGCGGTGGTGACGTGGTAAGCACGGGGGAGGAAACCATTGTTTTGACGGCCTCCACGAGGGAACGTCCATTTTCATCCATCCATTTTCAACAAACCTTTTTATACTCTTCTTTACTAGATTTTAATTTGTAACAATAATAATTAACATTGGTATTTATTTTTATATTTTATCTGTAATAATTAAAATACCTTGGAATGAATAATTGAATCATTTCTTCAAAACCAGACGAACCACCACAATATAAAGCTCTATCACGTGATCTATATATAGTAAAATGAAATCAATAAAGCACGATTGTTTTCTTTGACATATAAAACAAACTTCCTCTTCCCTTTCTGCAATGACAAAAATAGGGTAAAGTATTAAAAAAATAATTTGAATTATCAATAATCTAAAAGAGACAACTTCTATCGTGACCCTCTGCCTTAAGGTGGGTAGGAGACTTATACAGAACCTTGAGATATAGATGGTTTTTATAACGACATTTGAAATACTATCCCGAATTGCGTTTATTTTCAACGAAAAATCAAAATATATTTCGAGGATAAATAACGACCATTTCCAACCTTTTGGATGAGGTATGAATAGGTGAATTGTGAAGAGTAATGATAAACGGAAAAATAAAAGTGTCAAGGGATGGTAATCGAACCCACAGTGTTCCGCTTACCGGGCAGATGCCATGTCCACTAGGCTACCCTGGACATATTTTTCCGTTCGTAATAGATGGTTTTGTTTACCGGTTTCCATTGTACTGTAGAATAAATCATAACGCGTTCTCATTAAAAAGCTGGCTCTTTTATTTTGGGAAATCCTCAAAGAAAAAGAATATCCGGCGCGAGCGGGCGTGGCTGGAATAAATTATGTGTTGACAAATATATACAAAACAATATGTAAATAAGTGTGGAATTATTAATGAAATGGAAGCATTATAAAAATAGAATGTTTCTTTTTTTTTTTTCAAACACAAAATAAACTCTTCTACTGTCCCTTACTGCGATGAAAAATATATATTGGGAGGGGCTTGGCTCATCAGTTGTGAACCAATATATTTTTTTCATCGCAGTAAGGACAGTAGAAGATATTTTTTTTGTGTTTGAAAAAAAGAAATATTCGTGCCTTATAATGCTTCCACTTCTTATGTATAGATGACATGTTATTGTAATTTATTTTAAAAATATTAATGAAAATATTTATATGAGTCTATGTCGGGTGTGACTATATACAGTATATACCTTTAAGTCATATCTTCATAGACATAATTGTTTTAAAACGACACCTGAAGTTACACCGCATGAGTTTCTTTTCAACGAAAAATCAAAATTTATTTCAAGGTGAAATATTGACTATTTCTAACCTATTTGGATGAGGTATGAAAGGGTGAATTATGAAGAGTAATGATGAACGGAAAAATAAAAGTATCCAGGGATGGGAATCGAACCCACAATGTTCAGCTTACCGGGCAGATGCCATGTCCACTAGGCTACCCTGGACACACTTTTATTTTTTCGTTCATCATTTCTCTTCATAATTCACCCTTTCATACCTCATCCAAAAAGGTTAGAAATAGTCAATATTTCACCTTGAAATAAATTTTGATTTTTCGTTGAAAAGAAACTCCTGCGTTGAAACTTCAAGTGTCGTTTTACAATCACAGGCCGCAGTGCATTATATAATTGTTTTAATTTGAATTTTAAATATTGATTCATGATATGAACAAACTTTTGAATAAGAAATGTAATCACACAATGCTAATCAATTAAGAAGTACTTGAATAAATTGTAAAATATTTTCTCTTTGTTTAATTAGTATAGTACAATGAACACTAATTACTAAATATAATTGTTGAGAACGTATTGTTGAAAAAAAAAAGAGAAAGATAGGAGAAGGAATATATACATATGTCATAATTTGTATAATATCAAGATGTATAATTTCTCTTTTCGCCAAAATAAGTATGTAAATATGGTAATTTAAACCAACAACCCTATATTGTATAATACCTATAACAAGATTGTCATGTTGTATATAGAAAAACACCTATAAATAATTATACGCATGATTGACATGTGTCATTGCATCACCATATGTAATGTACTTTGTACAAACTGAGGATGAATAAATGAACTATGTAATAGATTAAGAGCTGAGCTAAGCAAGAGATCGAAATAGAAATCAACCCTAAAGAGGAATTTGGCAAGTCGTTGCCATCAAGGTCAAAGGGTGCAGAATAGCGCAGACGCCCCCACGCCCTTTGGACCTGTTCAAAGTCCAAATTCTCGCATGTCTCCCTCCTCGGCAAAGGTATATAAAACCTCGGTTTTAGCCGAAATCGGAGTCACTTCACCATCGGCGTGAGCCCTTGTCGGTTGTACTCAGGACCACCTCATCGACCATGTAAAACAGTAAGACTCTTCTAACTCCAACTTGCTCTTAGCTCGACTCCTATCTGTTCATGGAACTTCCCTACTACAACTGTGTCTCTTCGTTTTTTGTGTGTGGACATTCCCAAGCTTTCCACTCTGCCTCGACCACGACTGCCTGTACTCTGTGAGAACTGTTAAAGGTCCTCCAAGGTGCAGAGAGGTACTGGAAAACTCTCCACGCCCTGACTGTCCCTCTCGGTTACTACTGGTTTGACCCTCGGTTACCACATAAATATGTTAAGGTTGTGTTAAAATGTAAATATGCAAATTCATCCATCTATTAAAACTGTACAAAAATAAACGTGGCAGACATCGCGGGCGAATGTTACGGCACGTCGCGGGTGCGCTGCTGACTTGACTGGAACTAATTATTGAAGATTATAAGCATAACGGTTGCACCCTTCCATTCGATCATGACATATATATATATTGTAACGTTGAAAATTAGGAAAGACAAACTTCAGAATTACACGACAATTTATTTAATGTAAGAACCATATTAAAACCAAATAAAATAGCAGAGATACAATTTGAAATTTTCAAAGTATATTAAAAAATACAAATATAGAAATAAAAAATATTTTCATAGAATAATAAATAATATGCTACAATGAGATTTAAAATTACACCATTCTGTTCATTTAATTTATCATTTATACAAAATATCTCTTTATTACATATATATTTGAGCCATTTTGGTTTAGTAAATTGTATTTTCTACCATTTCACAGAAAATAATATAAATTTAAACGATTAAATAGACTCAACTTTAACAAAATATATTGGGACAAACCTAATTTGTTCAAATTACAATTCAAAAGACGAGTGTTTCTAAGATGACTTGTTTATTTAATCGAGAGAGAGTTACCAAAAGACTTTGTAACAACAAAACAAATGCCAAGTCTAAATGGAAAAATTCTAGAAAAAGAAGAAGGGGGTAGATTATTCCCAATTTTCTCTCTTACATTCTAATTATACATTCAATAAGCTTTTAAAGATCCTCCTCCCCCCTTTTTAAAATTTGTCCCCCCAAAAGATTTTTGAAAGAAAAAAAAAAGATGCATTAATATTCGAAAAATAATGGAGGAAACCCTTCTACTCATATGTAAATTAGATTTTTAAAATACTTTTAATAGAAACGTGATAATTCTAATTGCATATTTAAAAAAAAATTCTTTCTCTCCAAAATGTCTTTTGTTTATTTATTTAACATATTTTAAAATATTACTAAAATAATCGTATGCTTACTTAAAATAAGAAAATAATTTTTCTTGTTTTTATATTTAAATAAAAAGGCATATATTAGATCAAAATATTATTTTTTTACCAATATTTCAGTTGGCTGAACGCCAACCTTTATCAGGGTGTTATAACGTTTTAATGTGTGTCAACAACAAACTCAGCGCCACATAACGTCAACAGCATTAAGTTTTTAAAAATATTTTGTTATAATGTATTAAAAAAAAACAACAATTTTATTGTGATTATTGTTTTGTTTTCTTTAAAAATCGGAATGCGAAGATGAACAATTAATTATATTTATTATAAGATAGGGAACTTCCTAAATTATGGCCTATCTATCAACTATATATATATTATATAAAGAAAAGAGAATTTCTGCTTGTATTTAATTATCTTGAAGATTACACTATGTTAATGCAGTCGTGGTTAAAATCTTGAAAGAATAATAATAATAATGGTTTTGATCAGAGGTTGCTTTAATTGAGCTAAGGAATATACTTGTATAAAATACATAATTTGGTAAAAGCACTGCCTGGCTTAAGGCGTAAGAATAAAAAAAAATGAAAAGCTTATTTACATAATGTACAAAGGTTTTGAGCCGGCCATCGGGAAACAACAACAATGAGTATTTATAGGGGAAGCGTAACCTCTGGCGGTCGATTTAACAGAGTATTTGAATCGATGAAATATAATTTTAAATAAAATAATATTTTAATATAACATATATATACAGCCTAACTCGAGCTGTCTCTATATAAAACATAAACAATCATGATGATAACCTTTCTTTTTTTTTTAATTCTATGAATTATTTACAGATTACATTACAATATTTTTGAAAATTATAGGTTAGAAATATCATTTGCAGAATTGCACTGGAGTTGTTGTATTTTTAAAAAATATTACAATAATCATATATGTTTATAATATTTTATTATATTCAGTTTATATATTAAATTTACGAAAGTGTTTTTTCCTATCAGGAAAATCTAAATTGACATATATAATGAAATTACACTCGTTTTAAGACAAATATTCATTAAATATAATTACATTCATTTCAGATATATTTTCATTTTATTAAGAACATTCTTTATTTCAATACGGAAAATATTTGAAGAAAGACTATAAAGTTTGGTAATATTAGGCTTAAGGTTTTTTATTAACTATTTTATATAGTCTACTGACGAAATTTTAAAATGTACAAACAAGCATTTTGATAATAATTGCTATAATATTTCAAATTGAAAGCGTCTTAAGGTAATACTACACTGGGTCCGCAAAATCAAAGGAACAACTTTTTTTTTCCATTTATCTCAAATTTTATTGAACATTTATCAATGACATTTTATACACAAATTTATTATTCCAATTTTGATTAGAATACCCGAAATCAAAGAATTCTAACACGTATTTTATGCAAATTAGCCGGTCAAATAATGATCTTCTTGCAGTCAGTGCATAAATATCTTGGATATTGTTGTTAATATGGGGTGTGATCGCCTTTAACTGATAGACGGGCTCTACATCGGTGACCCATACTAAGAATTAGGGAGTTTATAAGCTCCTGTGGAATCAACGCCCACTCTTTTTTTAAAGTGTGTTTCTAGCTCATGTGTGTTTCTAGCTCATGAGTGTTTCTAGGAGGGGGTTGGAGGGATGAGATCCGCCGTCCTAGCTTGTCCCATACATGCTCAATGGGATTAAGGTCTGGGGATCGAGCTGGCCAATTCATCCGAGCAATTGCATGGTTTTGGAGAAAAGTGTCGACCACACCAGCCCTATGTGGACGGGCATTATCATCCATTATAAGAAGGTTTTCTACCATTTCTAATGATTGAGGCATCACATATGCTGCCAAGATCTCGTCCCGATACCTCTGTCCAGTCAGGGTTCCTTGCCGAAAAATATGGAGTGCTGTGCGACCGCCCAAGAAGATTCCAGCCCAGACCATAAAACATTGGCTTCTGTAGGGATCCTTTTCAACCATATTTCGGGGATTATTTCTGGTTCCTACCTCTCTCCAGACAAAGACACGACGATAATAGCTGTTTAGAGAGAATCCGGACTCATCAGTGAACATTACATGGCTCCATTCATCTGGATTCCAGGCGACATGTTGTCTGCGCCAAAGTTCCCTTGCTCTCTTTTGAGGTGGTGTCAACGGCACACAAATTATGGGTCGTCGAGCATAGAGGCCCTTCATGTGAAGCCTTCTGCGTATTGTATCAGTTGAAATGGGAGAAAACTTTTTTCTAATGGATGATAACGCCCGTCCACATAGGGCTGATGTGGTCGACACTTTTCTTCAAAACCATGCAATTGCTCGGATGAATTGGCCAGTTCGATCTCCAGACCTAAATCCCATTGAGCATGTATAAAACAATCTAGGACGACGGATCTCATCCCTCCAACCCCCTCCTAGAAACACTCATGAGCTAGAAACACATTTTAAAAAAAGAGTGGGCGTTGATTCCACAGGAGCTTATAAACTCCCTAATTCTTAGTATGGGTCGCCGATGTAGAGCCTGTCTATCAGTTAAAGGCGATCACACCCCATATTAAAAACAATTTCCAAGATATTTATACACTGACTGCAAGAAGATCATTTTTTGACCGGCTAATTTGCATAAAATACGTGTTCGATTTCTTTGATTTCGGGTATTTTAATCAATAATGAAATAATAAATTTGTATATAAAATTTCATTGATAAATGTTCGATAAAATTTGAGATATATGGAAAAAATATGTTGTTCCTTTAATTTTGCGCACCAGTGTATATTAATTTTGTTCCATTAAACTTGTACTTTTAAAGCCTTATTGT